ATGAGATTTCGAGACATGCTCTTCATATTCCACATATGCCTCCTGGCCCCAAGAGCTAAGCTCCTGGGCTAATTCAGCAGGCTTACCCCTCCTTCCCAGGGTGATACAAGAGTGCTGCGTGGAAATTTGGTCCTGCTGCAACCACCTGCCGTTCTTTTTCTTAGGATAAGCTGAAGGACCTTATCCTGTGCTGTAGCATTGAAGATATGTTGGAGCCACTCTTTCTGGCTATTTCTGGTGAAGTAAAAGGGCTGTGTATCACCTACTCAATACCCTTTGACAGGTAAAGGAAGGAGATATAGTTATAATGAAAAGCGGGTAATGTAATTTATATGAAACATTCTGTTCCTTCCTGCTTTAATTCCATTTGATTCCCACTTATTAGGAACCATTTTGAGCTTGATTTGTGCTTCCTACTGGCATCTTGCTTGATCACTAGAATCAGAGACCAAACATGGTGTACAGCCTGATCCTGCTGGGTGCTTTTTACATTCTTTAGTATGTTCACAACTTGTATGAACTTGCACCATTCTTTGGGGATCATATGGGCTGCAATGTAAAACAGTACCTTACTCCTTTTCTGCTAAACTAGTAAAGAAATCCTTTATTGTCCTTTCCAGTATTGTATCTTAATCTCCCTTGCCTGGCCACCCATCTCTAAAAAGTAGGAAGCTTACTTAGCCTCTGTTCTTGTTGTTCTGCAGTGATGAGGAACAAACATTAATGCATTCGCAAGATCTAAAACTCAACTTTGGCTCTGAAGTGGCCTTGAAGAGTGTGATAAAGCGTCAGCTGGTCATTACCAATCATTCCGAATTAGCTGCTCTCTTCACGATAGAAGCTGATTATTTCAGCAGCCCTCCACGATCTTCTGAGGATCAAAACTCAGAGGGGTACATCTTGTTTTCTTCAGTTTATCCTTGATTGGGAAGGCAAAGCTCCATTAACTGTTACTTAGTAGACTTCTCATGGGCACGAGTATTTCCATGCCTATATAGTTATAAATATTCAACTCCCAAAACCTTCTAAGCACTAAATAAAACATCAGGAGATGGGGTTTGAAGAAGTCAGCTGCCCTTTCTCTCTCTACTGAACTTCTTCCCAGGCAAGATCGAATCCCAAATAAAAGCCCCTTTTAGCTTATCCCACCAACATTTCTGCTACAAGGTGCACTTTCTTCCTTCTTAATAATTTTGCAAGCTGCTGACTCAGTGGAATATTACTGGATGGGACACAAGGATTGAGCCAATGTTCATAAAAGCCACCTTAAATGAAAGGCTTCCTGCTGTGGCTTGGTGATGATGGGGATTGTAGTCCAATGCCTCCTAGTAGCACCAGCCTGAGAAGGGTGTTGTGTCCCTTAACTAATAGATCTGAATTGCCATGTGAAGAAAGCAGCTGTTGTCACATCTGCAGTGCACGAAAGGGTTAGTTTAGATAAGAGCATCTTGCCTGTGGCCCCCGGGTTGAATTGAAACTTGCAACCAGAATTGATGAGTAGATCTGCCTCAGATTGGCAGCCACGTGGAAGTTTTAAGTCCGTTTTTGAAGCATGCATCGTGCCTGCAGATACCCAGGCACCTTTATGAGTTCTCAGAGAAACCATTTCCTCTATCCAGGGACATGATGGTGGAAAAAACCAAGCGGGTAACGAGACAATATGCAAAGAGGAAGCAATCAGGTAAGAAGAATCTGTCTTTGTCATGTTTTTGTAGACAGGAAGTTTGTGGGGCTGAAGAAATATTTTGATGGGAAAATGCAGCTGGACGCGGCCCGAAAAGAGGCTCCAGGCCAGTCCCTTTCAGACAAAGGGAAGTCCAGCAGCAGCACTGTCACAGAAGGGCCTTGTTGCTGTGGCTGTCGTTCTGCTCTTCCAGCCTTCCGAGCAGCTATGCTGTCCCATGGGAAAGGAGCGACGTTCCATGTGCACCCGTCGGAGGGGATCCTGAAGGCTTTCCAGGAACTTATTGTAGAAATCACAGCCTACAACAATATGTGGGGACATTACAAGGACAATCTCATCTGCAAGGTAGGTGGCCTCTCTGAGCCAGCGGATGGAACGTTGACCTGACATCAGAGCAGTTCAGGCTGCACTTCTGTGATTCTTACCAGAGTTATTTCCTTTGACTTAAGCGGGCTTGCTTGTGAAGCCTGGGCAATTTATCTGGGTTTATTCTCCAGCAGGAAGTGAGGTTAGGTAGGGGGCTTTTGTAGTTGGTTAGAGCTTTCCTTGACTTTCAGAGGAAGAGTTGTCTTATACCAAGACCCAAACACAAGCAAGCGGAAGGTGACAAGCCTGTATTTCTGGCTTCTCCTGAAAATTTGCAAAATCCTTCAGTGCAGTTGATTATATGCAATAAATAACAGCTATCTCATTTGCAAAAGGAAGAACGCTTCCAAGTCTCTCTGCCTCCCAGCCTCATTTAGCTGCTGGATCTGTTGGGTATAAAAATTAATTCTCTTTGTGCAGGTGGGAGAATCAGAGCCAAAGTTGATCCCCATAGAAATGACCGTGAAAGGCTGCCCTATCTTCTTGCAGATGACCGGACCGAGCCACCCCATGGCAACGCCCACCATCCGGTAGATTCTAGAGACTTTTAAGCAAGGCTATTGGGAGTTCCAAATGTGTGGTGGTGGGGAACTCTGAGAGCTGTAACTGTCATAAACTTGTATTTTTCTCTTTGGGGACACAGTCCTAACCTGGCCACAGCTATTGTGTGCCATGAACCCCCTTTTCCTCCATGTTGAAGCACTGACCTGTGACAGCAGTGAATCTGTCCAAAGGCTGCAGCCCAGGTCTTTTGCAAGAGATGGGGACGAAGCTCTTTGGTTTTGAATCCCTGAGCTCCTGCCTGGAAGATAAATGCTTGTTTTCATCCAGCTCTGTTTTGTTTTTCAGTTCCCCCATAAATATATATTGGAACATCCTTACTCCAGTGCAAATTGTTCTGCATTCCTTCAGACAGTTACTGTAAGCTTCTGGCTGGGTTGATCAGCATGAGAGATACCCGGGAAACATATTTCCCCATCCCAGTTTTCCACAGCATTGTTCTTACTAGTTAAATGATTAGCATTCCTTTAGTAACCATAGTTATCATAGTTTTGGGGTCAGAAATGCAAATACCTTAACACTACAGCTGTGGTTTTAGAGCCATCCTGCCTCTCAGGAGCCACGGGAGCTGTACTCGTGCTGAGGCGATGGTGGTGGTGAGAAAGACAAAACTCCCACGGCTCCCTGAAGAGGGGCAGCCCTGAAACCAAGCCTGTAGTGCTGGAATGCCTTTTGCTGTGTTGATGGAGCACATTTAGTTCTTTTTTTCTCTCTTTCATAGGAAATACCAAAAATACAGACATAGATTGTGCATAAATGTATCACTTTCTTTCCCAGGTTTGGGGCCCACATCTCTGGCGGGGACACCATCTCACGGCACATCCAACTCAATAATCCCACTCCCTTCGGTAAGCGCTTGTAGTGGCCGGTGTCATTTTTCCTGACAATAGCCAAGGCCTCCAGCAAACCAGGAGGAAAATGAAGGACCAGGATCCCTGCAGGTTTGAAAACCATCTAAGAGTATGCCTCACTTCCTCTCCCCCTTGCCCCAAATTCTTGTGGATTCTGAGATTTTTTCCAAGCATAGCCAAAACGCTGGCTGGGGAATTCTGGGAGCTGAAGTCCACACATCTTCAAGTTGCCAAGTTTGAAAAACTGTCAGGTTCAGCCCAAAGAACTCCAAGAGACAATGCAAATACAGTTCTGTTGCGTTTATTAGCTTCCACCTCAGGACAGATTCTTACCAGAGTGAACCCAAGTTCCCAAGCCAGCCAGCCACAACACTGTGAATACCTTAGGGAGGTGCCAGCCTC